AAACCCTAAACCCTAAGCCCTAGAGAGGTGCCGGGTTTGAGAGGCTTTTGGGTTCGGTCTCTGGGGCTTCGGGCACCGCTTGAGACAGCTGCTAATGTAGGGGCCTGAACAAGTTCAGGGTTTAGGGTTTAGGGCCTTAATAAGTACAAGACGGTTTCCTTAAAGGTCTCCTTAAAGGGTTTCTATGAGGGATCTATAATGGGACTCTATGGTATAGGGGCCTTAATAATTAGAATAGGGTTTTGGGTGATATTATACTACAAAGGAACCCCTAAAATAGTATTGATAACTATTAAAGTCCCTGTACCACTGTCGAGTACTTGGTGATGGTGATGGTGACGGCAGTAGTGCTGCTCCTGTTGAGGATTGCGTAGCAGAAGATAGTTCTGATTGTGGTCCTACATTCTTGGCCTTGATGGTGATAGCGATGCCCGTTCGCATGAAGTCATGAAGGTCATGATGGTGAAGTGCATGAGGGTTGTGAAGTCATGATGTTGACGGTGATCACCTTCACCATGAACAGGGTGGTGACCCTAAACCCTGAACCCTAAACCCAAAACCCTCAAGCTCTTTCACCTTGTCTACACATAGAAAGGCCGAAGCCCGAGTTAAATCCTGAACTGGAAATCCTCGTGAGCCCGAACCGAAAGGGCCTTTTTAGGGTTTTGCGTTTAGGGCTGAACCCGAAACCCTAAACCCTAAATCCTAAATCCTAAACAATCCTAAACCCTAAACCCCAAACCGTAGAAGCTTAAGAGGTTTCCGTCCAGCTGCTCAACTCTAAACCCCAAGCTCGAAGTCCTACTCCGTCAACCCTGAAAGGGGCCCTTAGAGGCACCCTTAAAGGAAGCTTCGAAGGAACCCTAAACCCTAAACCCTAAACCCTAAACCCTAAACCCTAAACCCTAAACCCTAAACCCTAAACCCTAAACCCTAACCCTTACAGAAACCCTCAAAGGAACCCTAGGCTTGCAGCTGCAAGCCGAACAAATGCCGAGGAAAGTCTTGGACGAGGTCGACGTCGCATCCGTCCCGGATGACGTGCCGAAGTCCTTCTGGTTGTGAAGGACCGCCTCTTTTTTTTTTTGGGTTCAGGGCAGTTCCGTTTTTTCTCCATCACCTGCCGCATTTGGGGGCTCAGGGTTTCGGGGTTTGGGGGTTCTTGGATTTTGGCAAGGGCGTTCGGGTTCAGGGCCCAGGGTCTAAGAGGTTGCAAAGCAGATCCCTTGATCTGCAGAGAAAGAGAAGTGTCGTGGGGACATGTTCGATTGTTCGGGCATGACAATTTGGGTGCGTGTGCTAACATCGCTTGATCCTGCTAGCAGAAAGCCCTTCGCGTGGCCGACAAGGTCACCCAGAATGCCAACCCTTCAGAACCTTCAAGAACCTATCCGACAGCCCGCAGCCTAATCCAAAGGCACTAAAATCCTGAGCTTTCAGTGCCCGATAAACCTCGTACCTCACACCCTAAACACGAAACTCAAGGACAAAACCCTAAACCTTATGAAACCTAAACCCACCTCAACTCCATCGGGGGCTCTTCTCTCCAGGCAGCATGTCTTGGTGGGCGAGGACACCCGGGAAGTCGAGTTACACCGAAGCACTTGGCTTGAGGGGTTTTTAAGGTTAAGGTATTTGCTTTTTTGGGATGAAGCTTTGTATAGGTTTCAGTTGTACCCAAAGTAAGCATCATGATTCTGATCTTAGTCTCCTCTTCGTGCCGTGCGTGCTTCGGTGCTCGATGGATATACCCGATCGTAGAGAGCAGTCGCCCGCCCCGGCCTTTCAGAGCGAACTCAGGGAGGCTGGGGGGGGCCATGAGAAGGACATGCAAGTTCTGTCGGAAAAATCACAACTAGAGCCGTCAAGGGTTAACCGGGGATAAGGTATACGTATAGTATAGGTTGTGCTGTTGACCTTACCGCAGGACGGCTTTAATCTTTGAAGTCCCAAACCTTGTTCCCAAACCAACCGTCACAGTGGTCAGCAGTAGCAGGAGCAGCAGGAGCAGTAGCAGTGGCAACAAAAGAGGAAGTAGGCGCTAAGTGGCGTAGTAGTACAATAAACCCTAAACCGAAACCGCTAAATCTTAAACCCTAAATCCCAAAACCAGCCAAGCCCTAAACCCCTAAGCCCCAAAATCCTAAACCCTACAACCATCGACACCCGCAAGACGAGTATCTTTTGAACATGCAACACACGGCCCCACCCTGGGAGCTTAAATATAGGGGGCCTACTTATTAGAATTGGGTTTTTAGGGGTTTACGGTCTGTGACAATAAGGAACCCTAAGGAACTTCAAAAATGTTGGGAATTCTTTAGGCCCCTCTAGTAGCTTATGTCAGGCGGAACTTGCAGATTGAGGATAGGTTCTACTCGCGAACAGCGGCCGGATCTCTGCGCAGATTCCTGGGGATTCGTCATCCCGCCTCATAGCTTTTCGACGAGGCTTCTGTGATTTTCTTCAGCCATGTACCAAGTTTCCTAATTATTCTGGGCTCGTAGTGGGGTGTTTCGCACAGGGCTTCAGGGTGCATTTCGGCCTTTGGCGATGCGCCTGGACTTTGCAACTTCCATGAGCCTAAACCCCCAAACCTTAAACCCTAAACCCAAAGCCCTAAACCATAAACACTAAACCCTGAACCCTGAACCCTGAACCCTGAACCCTGAACCCTAAACCTTAAAGCCCTAAACCCTGAACCCTAAACCATAATGTCCGGCCGCTGCTCCAGTGAAGCTAGTAGGTTCTTTCCAGCTTGCATCCAGATCTTGGGTGCGATGGAAGGAGGCGTGCGCGTGTGGCTTTGTCCGAGCAGCATGCAGTATGGAAGGGTCGAGGCTCCCGCAGGCCGAAGAATAATATCCCTAATCCCTACTGTTGATGCTTTTTAGGGATCCAATAAAGGGATCTATAAGGCTTTCTATAAGGGTTTCTATAACGGTACTTTAGGGGTACGGTTGATGATATAAATCCTGCATTACCGCAAGGACGCAAAAACTATGGGAATTATGGTATAGTCCTCATTGATTATGAGTTATGCAAGGTTCATATCATCAACCGTATGTCCTAACCCCGCGAACCCTTAAATCCTGAGCCCTAAAAGCCCTTAAATCTTGAACTCTAAAGCCTTAATATGCCAGGGCGATCTACGGTTTAGGATTCAGTGTGTAGGTCTAAGGGCTTCGGGCTTGCGTGTAAGGTTGGGGTTTTAGGGTTCAGCAAAATGAGTAGTTCTCTAAATTAGGGTCCCTTTTCAGGTCCCCAAAATAGCCCAGTGCGCAGTTTACTGCAGTTAGGATCCTGTTTGAAGGTTTGGGTGACTGAAGCCTTAGGTAGGAGGGCCTCTGCAAACCCTTAATTTGCTGGGTTTGGCGTTTAGGGCCGTTTAGGGTGTTTTGGGGTGTTTGGGTTTAGGATGTTTGGGTTCCTTTCAAGATGTTTTGCCTGCGAGTGGCACAGCTCCCTAAACCTCAAACCGCGAACCCTAGGAAGAACAACCCGTAATTCTGAAATCGCTAGTCCTTTGCTGCGGGGCCCTGAACCGCCACTGCTGGAGCCGGCAGAGCACAATAAGCTTCTTACAGGATCCGAGGGGACTTTGCACAGCAGTTCGTCGTTGAACCCTAAACCCTAAACCGAGGGCCCTAAACCCTAAACCCTAAATTTCCCTGAGTAGGCAGTCCCCTTGATCCACCTCTGCCTAGCAATTTCTCCGAGAGTCGAAGCGGGGAGCGGTCCACGGCTTTTGAGGATCGCTGGCTACGGGGGGGATCGTGGTCTAGTCAGCGTGTAATGGGTTTGGAGTAGCAGAGGATTCTGGATTTCTGGCTCAGGGTTTAGGGTTTAGGGTTTAGGGTTTAGGGGTTTAGGGGTTTAGGGTTTAGGGTTTCGCAAAATTTGTCTTTGTGTAGTACAGCAGTTTAGGGTTTAGGCTTTCGGGATGAGGGTTCAGGGAGCACGAAGAATCCTACAGCCCTTTGAAGGCCCCTCAAAAGCGATGGAGTTCTTTAAAGCCCGAACGCA